GGTGTATCATGTTAATTGATTTGCAGATATTGAACCAGTTTTGGTTCCCAGGAATAAATCCCACTTGATCATGGTATACAATCTTTTTAATATATTGCTGAATTTGATTTGTTAATATTTTATTAAGGATTTTCTATTTCTATTTTCATCAGGGTATTGGTCTATAACTTTTTTGTTCTGTCTTTGGCTTTGGTATTAGGGTAATGCTGGCCTCATAAAATGAGTTTCGGAACCTTCTTTTGGCATAGTTTGAGAAGGAGAGGTGTTAATTCTTCTTTGAATGTTTGGTAAAATTCACCTATGAAGCCATCCAGTCCTGGACTTTTGTTTGTTAGGAGTTTTTTATTTTATTTTATTTTATTTATTTTTATTACTGATTTGATTTTGTTAGTAGTTATTGATCTGTTCACAATATCTGTTTCTTGTTGATTTAGCCTTGGGAGATTGTATGTTTCTAGGAATTTATACATTTCCTCTAAGTTGTCCAATTTGTTGGCATGTAGTTGTTCATAATTTTCTTATAATCATTTGTATTTCTGTGATGTCAGTTGTTACTTCTCTTTTATTTCTGACTTTATTTATTGGGTTCTCTTGCCTTTTCTCTTGATGAGCCTGGTTAAAGTTTTATCAACTTTATTTAACTTTTTCTAGTTTTTTTAGGTGGAAGGTTAGATTGTTTATTTGAGATTTTTCTTGTTTCTCAAGGTAGGCCTGTATTGCTATGAATGTTCCTCTTAGAACTTCATTGGCTTTGTCCCATAGATTTTTGGAGTGTTGTGTTTTTAATTTTATTTGTCTCCAGATATATTTTTATTTCTTTCTTGATCTCATTGTTAATCCATTTATTGTATAATAACATGTTATTTAGCCTCCATGTGTTTGTGTATATTTCAGTTTTCTTCTAATTGATTTCTAGTTTCATACCATTGTGTTTAGAGAAGATGCTTGCTATGACTTAAATCTTATTAAATTTATTGAGAGTTGTTTTGTGGCCCAGCACGTGGTCTATCCTTAAAAATGTTCCATGTACATTTGAAAAGCATGTATATTCTGCTTCTTTGGGGTGAAATATTCTTAAAATACCTATTAAGTCCATTTGGTCTGATGTATCATATAAAGCTATTATTTTCTTGTTGGTTTTCTGTCTGGAAGATCAATCCATTGATGTCAATGGGGTATTAAAGTCCCTTATGATGACTGTATTACTGTAGACCTCTCTCTCTTTATGTCTGCCAATATTTGCTTTAGATATTTAGGGGTTCCCACATTGGGTGTGTAAATGTTTGCAAGGGTTATATCTTCTTATTGGATTGACCCCTTTATCATTATGAAATGTCTCTTTTTGTCTTTGTTGTTTTAAAGTCTATCTAGTCTATATATCTCTAATATATCAATCCCAGCTTTTTGTTGTTGTTTCTTTGGTATGAAATATCTTTTTTCATCCCTTTCAGTCTGTGTGTGTCTTTGTATCTGAAGTGGGTCTCTTGTAGGCAGCATATGCATGGGTCTTGTTTTCTTATCTATTCAGCCACCCTATGTCTTTTGATTAGATCATTTAATCAATTACATTTAAAGTGATTATTGATAGGTATATAGTTATTGCCATTTTATTATTCATATATTTTATCTTTTTTCTTCTTCTTCTTAAATGCAGGAAGCCACCACTTGCCAATACTCTCTGTGCACCAAGGAATGCAGAAGACCAATGGACCTTGGGCATTATCAGGGCTGATGCTAAGCACTAAATGTTGAGATAGTGGTGGCTCAAGGCAATTCCCTAACCTGATAATCTTTTTACTTTTTACCAAACTTTACCTTTGATATGCCTGTATGCATTGTTAAAGGGCAAATGTGTATTCAAGTAAATAAATAGCGGACCAGGCCAGGTTTCGGTGTGCCTCTTCAAGAAATAGGTCTCCACCTGGCCCCCAATGCCTTCTAAATTCATATTTCTTGTAAAGTATTTTCATTTGTGCGTTGGCCCCTCCTTCAGATCCTGAACCCCGCCGTGAAGGTTGTGGCACTGAAAGAATTCCCTTTAACCTTTCTTCAAATAATACTGGTTTGGTGGTGATGAATTCCTTTGGCTTTTTCTTGTCTTAGAAACACTTTCTCTCTCCTTTGATTCTAAATGATAGTCCTGCTGGGTAGAATAATCTTGGTTGTAGGTACTTGCTTTTAATCACTTCGAATATTTTGTGCTAATCCCTCCTGGCCCGCAAAGTTTTTGTTGAGAAATCAGCTGATTATCTTCTGGGAGCTCCCTTTTAGGAGCTTTTCTTTTGGTGCTTTTAAGATTCTCTTTTTGTCTTTTACCTTCGGCATTTTAATGTGATGTGTCTTGGTGTGGGCCTCTTTGGGTTCATCTTGTTTGGGACTGTGCCCTTCCTGGATTTGTATGCCTATTTCCTTTGCCAGGTCAGGAAACTTTAATCATTATTTCTTCAAATAGGTTTTCAATTTCTTACTCTTTCTCTTTTCCTTCGGGAACCCCTATAATGCAAATATTTTATGCTTGTTGTTGTCCCAGAGGTTTCTTAAACTATCCTCTTTAAAAAAAATTTTTTTTCTTTTTGCTGTGCAGAAAACTGAGAGAGGCAGTCTGGGGGGAGTCAGTCTTACACCAAGATGTTAGAATCATTTAGGGCCCATTTCTAAGACACAGTTGGCTGCTGGTAAAGTGGGATCAGTGCCTCTGGTTAAAATGAAATCTCAGGAAAGCCTGCACACCCCCCTAAGCCCTGGTTCAGGTATACATTTCTCATTCTCACTCTCTTTTTCGCCTACACTTCATCTGGAAGGATTGAACATTCCTCACCTCTTGCTTGCTAGACTCTCCTTAGCTGCTCCAGGCCAGCTGTTTTACCCCTCAGTGCCTTGGCCCAGCCTCCCACCCTCACCTGTCACTTTCTGCAGCAGGCCTTGCCTCCTAAGCCTTAGGAGAAAAAAATCTAGGACAAGAACTCTTTCGTCTTCCTCCAGCATCACCCTTCAAAATCATTGACATCTGTGCTTTTTTGTTTTTTAATCTTCACCCAAGGATGTTTCCATTGATTTTAGAGAGAAGAGAGAAACATCAGTTGGTTGCTTCCCACCTGGGTATGTGCCCTGATCGGGAATTGAACCCATGATCTTTCATTGTACAGAATGATTCCCCAACCAACTGAGCCACACCAGCCAGGGCTGTGCTATTTTTCCTGCCATGTTGGAAGCATCTGCTTCCTCTGTCTGAGGTTCATCCTCGCACCAAAAATGCTCTGGCCCAGAACCTGGCTCACTTTATCCATTCATCCTCTCTTCTTCTTGCCTTTCTGCCTCTCTCTCCTTTCCTTCCTTTCCTCCCGTTCTTAGTCTTGGCTTCCCATAGGCTCCTAAGACAGTCATCACAGTGAACTCCCACTTGCTAATGCAGAGGGCACTTTTCAGTCCTTCCTCTGCTTCACCCGGTGTCAGACTTTGACTCTGTGCACCCATCCTTCTTTTACTCTAGATCAGTCATCTGCTTCCCTGGGCTTCCATTACTCTGCACCCCAGCTTCCTTTTTTCTTCCTGGTCACCCTTGTTACTCCTGCCCTTCAGTTTCCAGGTTTCTGTCAATGTTTTTTTTTTTCCTATGACCTCCTGGGAAAGGCTCATTTACCTGGGGCCCTTGCTACCTCTGGACACTAATTATTTACACCACCCTGTGCTAGTCCTACTCTCTCCTGCACCCTGGACCCATTTATCCAACTGCCTATTGGGCAGCTGGCTGTGCCATACACATTAAAGCTTAATGTATTAAAAAAAAGTTATCATCCCTCCCCTACCTACTCCCAATTCTGCGTCGCCTGCTGTGTGCCCTTCTAGACGAATACCCACACCTATGATCCACACCAGAGACCTTGCTGCGACCTTTGTGATAAGGTCCAGGATCTGAAGGAGGGGTGACACAAATGAAAATGCTATACAATAAAACATGAATTTAGAAAGCATTGGGGGCAGGTGGACCCTCTTTCTTGAAGAGACACACCGAGACTGGGTCCCGTCTGCTTTTTATTCAGTTTTAGATACACATCTTGCCCTCAGTAAAGCACGGCAAACAAGTAGCAGACAGACAGTCTCAAAGATCAGTAAAGAACAGTAAGGTCCAGTAAACATTTACTTGGAGGCTATCAGGTCAGGAGATTGCTTCGAGCCACCGCAATCTCAACACGAACAATCGGTGCCTAGCGTCAGCCCTGCTAACTCTCAAGGTCCATCGGCCTCCTGCGTTCCTTTGTGCACGCTCATGACAGTATTGGCAAACCGTGGCTTCCCACAAACCTGACTCCTCCTCACTGCTTTCTCTGTAATCACACATCTGGGCAGCTGACTAGCCCAGTAGTTCTCTTTCTCTAGTATCTTGCTGTAGCTTCACATAGTTTACAGAATTGTGCTCCTTCTTGGATATATCTTGGCTCCACAGCCACCTGTCTGCCTGATACCAGATCCACATCATTTCTGTTGGCAGTTTGAAACCACATCCTACTTTGGTCTCTGTGCCTTCACCCTCAGCCCCCTCCAACCCAGTGTCCACATGGCAGCCAAGAGAATCTTTCCAAAAAGCAAGCCTGCTCTGTCAACGCCCTGCTAAGCGCCTCTCTGGGGCTCCTTGTGCCTCAGAATAAATCCAGGTGAGCAGGAGCAGCTACCTCTGATCCCCTCAGCTGTCTCCAGCCTCCCGGCCCACACTTGAGTGTTTAACTAAAGGGAACTCGCAATTCCAGAATGTTCCAGCCTCTCCTGTCCGAGCTTGTGCACATTCTGCCCTTCACCTGTATAACTCACTGCCCCATGTCCTCCCTGGTCCTCTCCTGGCTGCTTACTGCCAGTAGCACACAGCTGGATTGTATTGTCCTGTGCCCATGTTCCCAAGCAGAAACTTGTCAAGGGGGTGCCTCGTGAGCCTGCCCAAAGAAGGTGCTCCAGGACGGTGTGCTGAATGAGTTCCATTTATCCCCACACTGTCTCCAACTGGAGAGCAACAACGTGACCAGGGCCCGGGGGCTTGAGGTGGACCACGTGGAGCTGGCAGTGGAGGCTGTGCTACGGCCACCACAGGACAGTCCGGCTGGGCCCAGCTGGCTCTCCATTTCCTGGGGAGGGGCGTTTACTCACTGGCAAGAGGTACCCTGCCCCCGGGGCCAGGTGAGGAGCCTCCTGCAAAGGGTGGGGGGCTCAGCAGGGCACTCAGCTTGGTGTCCAGCACAGGCTGAGCTTTGCTACTTGCTCCCTTAAGCAAGCACCTTTATGCAGTCCATTCTCTGCCTGTCTTTTCAGGCCGCTCCGATTCTGGAGCTGACTAGAACTAAGGCAGTGGGAAGAGCCTAGGTGTCTCTAAGTGCGTGGAGGCCATGGTAGAAAAGAGATTTACATTCAGACTGGAATAGCTTAGAAATAGGGTTTGGGAGTTAAGGATGAAAACTTAAGAGTGACTTCTTAGCTGAGTAGTGAGTTGAACACAGACCTGAAGTGGGTGTAAGAGGGAACTATTACAAAGGTATGAAGGCCACAGTGATCCTGACCTTGGCAGCAAATTGACCTCCCCTCTCTGCCACTTCCCCAGCCTTGTGGACTACCCCCACCAGACATCTTGGAGATGGTGAGCAGAGTTGAGTTGCCTGCCCCTCACGTTGGTGCTAGGCCCAGCTTGAAGAAGCCTGGCCGAGGGACTGCTGACTACTCTGCAGCCCCACCTGGTCAGCCAAGTTCGGGCCTGCTACCAGTTCAGTGTGGTCCTTCCCAGTGACACCCAGAGCATCTACTCCCTGGACCTAACTATACGTGCAACTGCCCTCCCTGCCCCCTCCTTGCCACCAAGATTGCTTGTAGCCCCTGCCCTCCACCCTGGGTCCATTTTTATCTTTTGTTAAAAGTGTATTTTTATTGATTTCTGAGAGGAAGAGAGAGGGAGAAATAGAAACATCAATGATGAGAGAGAATCATTGATCCACTGCCTCCTTCACACCCCACTCTGGGGATTGAGTCCACAATCCAGGCATGTCCCCTGACCAGGAATCGAACGTGAACTCCTGGTAGACACTCATCCCCTGAGCCCTGCTGGCTGGGCCCCAGGCCTGTTTTAGATGACCCCTGCTCCTGTCAGCAGTTTAGAGTGAACCCACAGCAATCAGGGGCTCAGGCACCATTTGCAGACGAAGATTATCCAGACCTCTGTCTCCCTCCCCTGTGCTCATCAGCAGGACAACTCACATAGCCAAGCTTCCTGTACCAAGAGCCCTGCACATGCTGTAGGCCTACTGTGTGCCAGGCTTTGTGCTGAGCACTTTTTGCTCATTAGCTCACCTACTTCTCACTGTGTGCCTATCATTTAGGTTGTATTATCATTCCCATTCCCCAGTTTGGAAACTGAGGCTCTGAGCAATTACATAGCCAATAGGATTTGAACCCAGGGTAATAGAACCTGAATGCTTAATCACTGCTTTCTACTCCACCCAGTGGGACATGCTAATCTTTTCCCCATTGCATGTCTATCCCCCTACTCAAGCTGAAGGGCAACCTAGCAATGGCCATGAAACTGGAGGCTGTTCTTAGGGCCCTGAAGTAGCAGCCTTGGCTGATCATCCACAGCCCAGCCTAAGCCTGGCACCAAGCCAGAGGGGCATCTTGGAGGAAGAGGCATTGGCGCTACACCTCAGATTACTGAGGCCCTGAGAAGGTTCAGGCCCAGTCAGTTGCCAATGAATGGAGGCTGGGAGACACTGGCGGCAGGGCGAGGCTGAGTCAGGGCCCTTCTGACCTACAGTGGCTCTCTGGACAAGCCTTTGCTCATCACAATCCCCTGCTGAGTAACCACCCTGAGATCGGTACACAGCACCATGACAGGAGAGCCAGGCCTGCTCTGCGGTGCTGGCTGGCTGATTGGAGAGGCAGGGCCCACAGAAACAGCCTGGCAGCAGCTGATTTGGTCCCAGTATGAGGGAGCAAAGCATGTGGCTCAGGCTCCCAGCTCCAGAGTGTGTGTGTATGTGTGTTTGGGCAGGGTGGGGGGGATCAGAGAGGTTGGGGGATGGAGGAGGAGGAGGCCACCAAGGAGAGGTCACTGCTGGAGGGATCTGGGGATCAGGCAGGTCCCAACTTCCAGATTACAATTCTGATCCAGGCCAGTGGGGTGAGGTGAGAAAGAGTGGGTCCTGCTTCTCTGGCCAGGGCATGAGACCTCTTGACTCTGACTCTCTGACTTGTCCAACAGCTCTGTCTTGCATGCCTGATGGGCCAGGCTGGGGCCTAGGGCAGCATGAAGGGGAGCCCTACCCTTCCTGTGGTTCTTAGCAGAGGTTCGAAAACTCAAACAAATGTGTTTGCCATGTACAAACAGTGGGGTTTGGGGATGGATGGTCCCCAATGTCCCTAGTGTCTGCAGCCAGGGACCAGAGCCCTGAAGGCTGACACAAGCCCTCATGATGCTCTAAATCACCCACAGATCTCCTTTCTGCTAAGGGATCTCAAAGCCCTGGGGCAGGAGTGGGCACTCTGTTCCTCTTGAGAGTCAGGAGGTGTGCCAGGGAGAGGGGGTATGCGTGTGTCAGAGCTGGTCCCGAAACAGGGTGGAGTCACCACATTCAGGAGAGGTTTCAGGGCTGCTCTCAGCTTCCCCTCCTGTTACACTTGGGTGGCCTGGCTTTCTGCTTCAGTGTTCCAGACCCAAACGGGGACCCTTTGACTTCTCCATTCCTCATAAATGAATCTAAAAAAAAAAAAAAAAAAAAAAAAAAAAGAAAAAGAAGAAGAAAGAAAGAAAAAGAAAAGAAAGAATGGAAGATAGAGAAATGACTCTCACTTCCTGAAGAGGCTTGTGAGGAAACCCCCACAGAACTCTGAGCCCTCCCCTTGAGGAACAGCCTGTGGCACCAGGCCTCCCTCAGGACCCTCTCCAGCTTCCTTGGCATCAGGCTTTGTCCCTCCTCTTGTATGTCCTCCCGGCACAGACTGCACACCCACCGGGGTCAGGTCGCAGCTCCAGAGCCCCTCCCCCGAGGGCCAGAGCCTCAGCCTGCTGGCCCTGCCCTGCCCTAGAGCCTTACCACTCATCCCAGCCAGCCACACTCTCACCTCTCTGAGGCCTAATGGGGCATTGTCCTCCTCCCTCTCACTTGGGCTTCCCCTTCACTTTGGGGTGCTCATTATGCCCCTTCCCCATGGTCTGAGTCAGTTCCTTGCAAAAGTGCCTGCCCTCCTGGTGGAACCATGAGCTTCATGTGTGAGAGATCTGCCTCTGTTCTCTCCATGGCTACAGGTGACTCACCAAGTGTTACAAGGGGCAGCCCAGGCACTTTCCTGTGAACACTAAAGGAAACAGAAACTCCTCAGGCTCTGGGCGGGGGAGGACCAACATAACGTTTAGGGGAAACTGAAAGTTGCAGTTGCCTGTGTGGTGAGGAGCAAGTCCTCTGCCAGCCAGTATCCCCCATCTTGGAACTGTTTGCTACTCTGGTGAGGCCAGCAGTCCGGTTCAGAGTCCCTGACTTTCAGAGGACTGAGCAGATCTTGCAGTCCCCATGGGAGAGTGAGGGGTTCCTAACAGTCAGGGTATGGGAGGGAGGAGGTGTCAATCAGAGAAGGGTTCTTGAAGAGGTGTTGCCTGAGACTTGCTGCTACGTGGGTGAGGAGAGGAGAAGTGGGGGAAAACATTGGGCAGAAGGGAAAGCCTCTGTGAGGGCATGGACAGGAGAAGCAACTGGGCATCTCCGATTTGGGGACTAGAACCTGAAGTATGAGTGGGAATAAAAACAATAACTGTTACTGTGTGCCAAGACTGTCCCTCTGATGGACCAGACACTGCCTATATATTACAATAGTTATGCTGTGTTTACATGTTAATATATAATACATTATTTTGATGTTACTTTTTAAATATTTAAATTTTGAATAGCTAGTACAGTCACATGGATCAAAATGTTTAAAACAGGGGTCCTCAAACTACGGCCCATGGGCCACATGCGGCCCGCTGAAAACATTTATCCGGCCCGCCGGGTGTTTTTGCCACCGCTGCCTATTGCTTAGCAGCTGACTTGTCCCGGCCCGCAGTGCGCATGTGTGGAATGTGTGCTGCACTCTCCAACTCCCCTCCTTCTCTCTGTCTCTCGACTCCTCCTCTCAGTCCCGGGTGTGATCGGATGAGTCAGGAGCTTGCCTGTGCAGAGCCTGCTCCTGCCTAAGGACCGAGGTAAGAACAAGTTAGGGTTTATTTTTTTTTTTGAAGTTAGGAGGTCTATTTTTTTTTTTTTATTTTGCAGTTAGTAGGGCCTTTTTTTTTTGAAGTTAGGAGAGCCTTTTTTTTGAAGTTTTGTTTTTTTACTTCAAAATAAGATATGTGCAGTGTGCATAGGAATTTGTTCATAGTTTTTTTTTTTTTTAACTATGGTCCGGCCCTCCAACGGTCTGAACTGGCCCCCTGTTTAAAAACTTTGAGGACCCCTGGTTTAAAAGATTAAAAAGGCATACCATGAAATTGTCCTTCATACTCCTGACTCCATCCATGTTTCCTACATCTTCCTCCTAACAGGCACTCTTGTATTAGTTTCTTGGTTATTCTTCCAGAAGTTTTTTTTTTTAAATGTATATATAAGAAAATCCAAATATGTATCCTCTGTGTTTTTTTTTTTTACACAAGTTGCAACATAACAAACACATGTTGCTTTGTTCACATTAAACCTTGAGGTTTATCCCATATTAGAACATAGATGGTCCCCATTCGGTTTTGTAGTTATATATGATTTCATTGTATAGATGTATCACTATTTAACCTATCTTGCATTTAGATTATGTTTTGAGTTTTGCTATTTCAAACAATGTTGCAGTAATAACTTTTAAATAAGCCACTTAAACTGTGTTTATCAGTAGCATAAAATCCTAGGAGGGAAATTGCTAGGTCAAAGCATTTTTAATTTAACTAGAGGCCTGTTGCACGAAGAGATTCATGCAATAGGCCTTCCCTTCCCTTGGCTGCCGGCACGGGTTTTCTTCCAGCACCCGGGACCCAGGCCTTCGCTCTGGCCGGAGCCTTCAGTCCTCGCCCCAGTGGCCGGAGCCTTCAGTCTCCTTCAGTCTTCGCTCCTCTCCACTTTGCGCCTATGTATGCAAATTAACCACCATCTTTGTTGGGTTAATTTGCATACTCTCCTGATTGGCCGGTGAGCATAGTGGAAGTATGGTCAATTTACATGTTTGTCTATTATTAGGTAGGATTATTAGGTAAGATAAATGCCCAAACACCCTCTTTGGAGTTTATTTAAATTTAAACTCTCCTCATCAGTGATTGAGAGTATGTTTTTCTCATAGCCATGCCAACATAGTGTGTTATTTGATGGACATATGGTTTCATTTGAGTAAATACTTAAGAGGAGAATTTCTGGGTCAAGAAAGTGCCAAACTAATTCCACAGTGGTGGTGCCAACCTTGAGCCTCATTCCTATGTGCTTATTGGGCACATGTCTTGTGAAGTGTCCAGATATTTTTTCCACTTAAAAGTTGGATTATTTTATTGGTATAGTATGAGTACTAGTTTTAAGAGTTCTTAGTATACTCTCTGACTACAAGTCTTTTAGCAGATGTGTATATTTGGAATATTTTCTCTCAGCTTGCCTTTGTTCTTGATGCTTTAACTTGACAAACAGCAGTTTTTAATTTTGATGAAGTTCAATCTATAATATTTTGATGGTTAGAAGTTTTATGTCTTGTCTTGGAAGTCTTTGCTCATTCTACGGTCTTGAAGATTTTCTCCTATGTTTTCTTCTAAAAGTTTATAGATTCAGCTATTAGGTAATTTTGAGTTACTTTTTGTGTATGGTATGAGATAAAAGATAGAGGTCCCCCCCCCCCCCATGTAGATCTCCAATTATCCAGCACTTTTTTGTTGAAAAGATATCTTTTCCTCATTGAATTACCTTGCAACCTTTCAATTATTCTTTCTCTTATTTTGAGTGAAGTTGGACATTTTGTAATATGTTTAAGAGTCATTATGTTTCCTTTTCTATGAACTGTCGTTTCATTGACTTCAACCATTCTTCTAGCATTGGTTGGTTCTATTTTTGTTTTTATATCTGGGAGCTCTTTAAATACACAGAAGATGAGCTGTTTTTGATGTGAGTTGTAAGGTTCTGCCTTAAAACCCAATTTGTTGTTTGTATTTAGACTTTGCTTATGATATTATCCCATGAAAATTAAAAAATGTATTTGAGTTAATAAATACTTTTTTTTTATGGCTCTTAGATCTTGAATAAAGTAAAAAACCATTTTGAGATCCATAAAGGAATTCCAAGTATTCTTATAATTTTATTTTTTACAAATAAATTTTTGACCCATTTGGAATTTAAATGAGAGAGAGAGAGAGAGAGAGGGACTGGAGAAAGAAGGAAGGGAATAAGGATGGGCTAAACATACACCCACCCTCATACACAGCCTAGCACAGTGATGGCGAACCTATGACACGCGTCAGAGGTGACACACAAACTAATTTTTTTGGTTGATTTTTCTTTGTTAAATGGCATTTAAATATATAAAATAAATATCAAAAATATAAGTCTTTGTTTTACTATGGTTGCAAAT